GTATACCAACGTCTTAACCAATAGCTCTTAAATATTATTTAGCATATGACAGAAGTCTGCTGCATGATTGTCCTCTGATTTTTAGTCTTGTTGGAGAGCATGTGCCATACATACCTTCACATGAATTGATGAAAGAGTTTTGTTCAGCAGCACACAATGTTTCCGGCACACCAAATCAGGCCACTAGGCTCTTCCGATCTAGAAAAAAAAAAATCTTTCTAGTTTCACTTACTAGGTGTCACCATTGTGTTTCTACCTGAAAACCTCTAGTGGATATTGGATGCTTCTTGTCATAGTAAAAACATTCTTCTGTGGTGCCTTATAAAGCCTTACCAAGACTGATGTTTGAAATGTGCTTTAAAATTTTGGTTCACAAGTTTGACCTCAAATTAAGTGTTAAACAATGGGAAATGTGGTTTAAACAAAAACTTCCACTTTCACCCCCACGCCAACCCACATTTCTTGTGTCTTTTATATGCACAGTCATGATTCAAGAGTTGGCGAATAACAATAATAATCCAAAAGGATGCTGCAATCTGTTAGTTTTTAAAATATTTCTCTGACCTGCTTTTATGTCTATCTTCCTTTTTTTTTTTTTTTTGCTTCCCCTGGCTTCCCCTTTTCACTTAGATTTGTCTGTTTGGAAACCCCATTAATTCCAAATCTTTACAGAATATTGTCTAAAATTATTATTAGATTGAGTGTGTGTGTGTGTGTGTGTGTGTGTGTGTGCTCTTCCTAACTGCTCCTTACAATTCTTGGTTTGTATCACGTCAAACATTCTAATAATAAATTGAAAGCTGATTAAAAGTTTAAATGTTTAAATAAAATTAAATAAAATGTACTACATTCAAAGGAGAAACAGTTTGAGACAAAATTGCTACACTTTTTAATTAACTTTACATTCAGCCACCAATATCTGATATGTTGCCTATAGTGACGACAGCAACACGGTACAGACCCCTAGTTTGTGGTTGGAGAAAAAGAGCAGGCCGCCATGACCTAGAAAATCAGGAAATGCATCAACCAGACTCAGTAGTAAAGGTGCTATTAACACATTTGAAATACTGATTGTGTTTGATGCTCTCCTTTCAAACTTTGATAGCTAAGTAAATACAAAAATCTCTCACATCTGGTTCACTCACACATACATTATCAGTTTGTTTGACTTTTTGGTTCACATCCACTAAATAAGTATCTTGGCTAGTCATTGTCTAATTACATCCTCTGTGACATTTGAACTCTGTGATGATGAGTCTTTACCCTTATGAGTATTCTGGTTAGTAGTTTTGTTTGGTATTACTCCAGTATTATGTAGCCTATGACGTTAGAATGCAGCCATGTCAGTATGCGGAAACACCTTTATTTCCGTAATGGGTATTAGTTAAAGTCAAGCTTAAAGAGACAGCGTCTTTTTTGGTCTGGTACCCGGGATGACTGAGGGGAAAATGTTGCATTTCTCTGCTGTTCTGCTGGTGTGGTCTCAGATCTTCTCAACCACATTGCAAGGTGTGTTTTACACATTCTTATGAGGGGTTTGTAAGAAATACGTATTTATTGCTGGCTGCTGCTGTTGGTGGTGATAATAATAGTAGTAATAACTTTTTCATTAATAGTGATTCATTTCCAAATACTGCAAAATCAATGTCCTGCTTTTATCTCCAGGATATAATGTATTTGGATCAAGCTGTCTAGATTTTGGCGGAGTATGTATACTAGCATTAATCTCTGAGCAGACAAATGAGGAACAAACAATTTATCCTTCATTGATCTAATGAGGTAAAGATAAGAATATTAAAATGTCATTACTTCCACATATCTCGGTTTCTATCAATGATAGATAAATGGATAGATCTGCTTCTCTAGAAAACTGAAAGCATTTTGACTGCATGTTCTCTTTCATTCTGTAGATTTCTTACAATCAAAGGGAAAGTAATCTGCTCGGATCCGTCCTCACCATGGGCCATTAAATAAATGAAGTAGCTGCATACAAAGAACAAACCTCAGTCAGTATCAAACAATACAGCTCAGTACAGAAACATTTGCTTATTTGCAGCTCTACAACTCCAAAATGTGCTTCTCCAGTGGAGAACTCGGTTTATAATTACACACAGAAAATATAGACATAAGAGGACACACAACACACACACACAAAAAACAGAAATCCCAAGAACCAAACCACTGGAGCAGGATTGTAGAGGGAAGATCTTCTGAAACCAGAGAGACATTTCAGCTGGGTGGGCTGGAATTGGAGGAAGAGAAAGAGACAGAGGCCTTATTAACAGAATTTGGGATTGTAGAGGATCTATAGTAACCACAGAGACATTTCAGCAGGATGGACTGGCATGGGAGGAAGTGGGAGAGACAGAGTCCTTATTAACAGAAACAATTTCTTCAACCATTATGAATGAGCCATTTATTAACAATGGTTACTTTTGCTTAAAAGTGGAGAAGTTTAAATGCTTGGGGTCTTCATTTTTTTATTTAGCCCTAACTATGAGTGAACATTTCTGCATGAGCAGTGCCAATAATAGACAACTATTCAGATTTTATCAGGATATATTTGTATGGAACCATTTTTGTATGCAGTACCTTTTTAACAGCATGACTTGTAATAAAAAGTTGTGTGTGGAGAAGATATTTGTAGCATTGCATTAAGAAAAGGATGTAAATTTTGTCATCAGCAAGGGTTTGCAGTGATTTATGGTGCATTCCAGACAACTGTGGAGCTGTGCACAAAGTCTAGGTTGTGAGGATCGAGCCCAGTCTCAGTGTCATTTGACGTACTTTCTAAGATGGCAGCAACAGTTGAGCATTCTGGATCACAATTGCTTTTAAAATACAATCAACTGGTAATCAGAAATTACAAGGTCATTAAAAAGAGTGGAAACCTAGTTATAGAAATATAAACTATCCTTAAAAAAACCTACAGTATATGTTTATAATACAATAATGTAATAAAGATGCATTGATCTTTAAAAGTGAATCAGAGCATTTTGTGTTCATGATTTTTATGCCATTTTATGTCAAGACTTGTATGCCATATGTGGCATACGAAGGCGAAATGTTCTCTATGACTGAATTGGAATAGAATACTACTGAAATATCTTTATATGACTGAAATATATTTATATGACAACCATGTGGTAATGTGCTATTTTGAATCCAGCATTGGTGCCATCTTGTGGTGTGTCGCTACATGTGACCGTAGCATGTGATTGACTGGAACACATTAATTTCAATTTGGGTATTCCTAACTTCATTCTGATCGGACCTGGTTTAATTATATTAAGTGCTGTTCTAGCTGGTGAACCAGTGATCACCAGTAAAAGCTGATTGACCAAGGCTGTTTTGCTTAGCAATATGAATGTAATTGTGAACACAAGTAATTGTCTTTATGACACTGGACTGACCTGCACATATTATGTGCTTCATTAATGCACATATAAACACTTGTAATAACCTGGGTGTAGTGTTGTGATGCACTTGTGTTGTGATGTCTAGTTTGTAGTTTTGCTTGGTTCCTGTTTTCCTCTTGATTGTTTTAATATATATCTTGTTATTCCCATTACCCCTTTGCATATAATGATAATGGAAAGATAATATTTATGAGTTGAATGCACATAAATTGCACCCACAAAGTATGGGAAATGAGTGGGAAACTCGAAGTCCTGCGTTTCCAAGTTGGGGGCTTGTCAGTGAGAAAACATGTCAAATACAATGGATGCAGCATTTGTATTGACGATAAATTTATTGAAATTAATAAAATGATCAGTATTTCATTCAAAATGAAATGATTTATGTTGCATGTATGAAATATGAAAGTATCGTACAGTTACGATATAATATGCAATTCTTCAATTTACAGAACCTTCACAAATGGAATAAAAACATCAAACAAAAACAAACTGATCCATATTCTTTATTCCTCATTTTGTACAAGTAGAGTTTAAAAATCTTTTTTTGTAAAAAAGATACATTGCCATCCTGCTCCAACCAAATGACTTAAACACACATGAAGTTGTAATTACGAAGCCTAGTGTGTTCATTTTGGGGTCTCATCTTCACATGGTTGGATGTTCAGCTCTATTTCCTGCTTTGTTTGTTTGTTTGTTTTACATTAATAAAATACTGTGTTTGGATCCTGCTCTCCTTTGTCTTTGAATTAACCATTCATTACACTGATTACTTTCTCATGCCTAAAAAAAAAAAACATTCAACCGCAAGGTTGTGATAGGCACGCTGATACTGCTTACATGTTACAAAGCCCCTAAATGTGTGGTGCGGGACAGAAGTAGACCACCATGACCTAAAAAAAAATCAGAAAATACATCAACCAGTGTGAAAAGTATAGCATAGTACAATTTGTCAAAGATTAATGATACTATTCACATTTTAAAATAACCTGATTATATTAAAAGTTCTCTTTTCAAACTCTGATAGCTTATATATTGATTTCAAGTTGTATCTGGATCGCACACAATTAAAGCAATTAAACATGATGTCACCATATTTAATTATTAATAAAACTATTGACCAGTGTCCTGGGTAGTGGTTTGCTTAAGTTGTTCTGCCTGTGGTGGCATGAGAGTGGAGCTGTGTTAGTGGGTGGTTGTTCCATGTGTCTCAGTTCAGGGCTGAGCTTAAATAGACGGTGTCTTTCTTGAGGGTCACATCACGGGTGACAACCAAGCTAGAGAATGAAGTCGCATATGTTGGGTTTCTATGCAGTTCTGCTGCTGTGGCTTCTGGTCTCGTCCTCTATGCAAGGTGGGTTTCACACATTCATACCAATATTTAGGAAGTCTCATATGTCTTGCCACTAGATTCATTACTGCTAATGAATATGCTGATGCAACTGTATTTGTTTACATTTAAAATTAATTTCCTTATATCTACAGTAGATGATGTTGTAAAGCGATCAGCCTGTCTGACTACAACGGATACTAAAGTTCCTCAGAGGAATCTGGTTAGCTACACATACCAGAGCAAACCTTTGTTCCCTGTGGATGCTGTAAGGTGAGAATCCATTCAGATTGTTGCAGATTTATCTTGTATTAAGACAAACTAAAGAAAAACTAAAGACAAAATAAATTAAAGCTTTTTTTTTACCTGATATTGTTCATAATGTGACTGGGAAAATTGTCATAATAGCTTGTTCTGTTTAATTCTGTAGATTTCTTACAATCAAAGGGAAAGTAATCTGCTCAGATCCCTCCTCACCTTGGGCCAAAAGATCAATAAAGTACCTGGATATAAAGAACAAACCTCAATCGGTATCAAACAATACAGACCCCTTTGGATGAAAATTGTTGATTGAACAGTATGATTTTGCATTTTTAAAGGTTTTCTCTTTATTGCACTTTATTGTACATCCCACACTTCATAAGTTGTGAAGTTTTTTTTTTTTAAATGACTATTTTCATAATTTTATATCTGTTTTATGTGTATATCTATAATTTTTATTTCATTAAAAGATTTGATTATGCATTTTTGTTTTCTGTACACATAGAGACAATATTGTCAAATAAACTCCTCTGTCAGACTACTTTGAAGTGATTGTTTAATCCATGTAGCCTTAAATACCAATATTTTAAGTCAAATTAAATTATTGAAGTTATTGTTCAGAAAATAGATGGACCACTGTCATGGGCATTTGAAGAAAAGATTAAAACCCCCGAAGACATCAAGAACTATAAAAGACTTGGGGTAAATTTAAAGAATATGCCTTGAATAGACAAATAAAATACAGTTATATACAGTATTTATATGGTCTGTTACCTTTATATTAAATGGTGTAGTAAGTGTCTATTTCCAAGAGCACAAACAGCCAACCTTACAAAGGCTATTTTGACTAACGCTGCTGGCTATTGCACATATATTTCACCTTTAGTACAAATAGCATGCTACTTTTATTTACACATATAAACAAATATATAATTTATGACTATTTGCACTTAGTGTAAAAACAAAAAGGTTAATTGTTGCTTAGTTCAAGTAGCATATACCACTATTTACACTGAGTGTGCTATATAGCATCTACCTTTTTACACTAAGTGTAAATTGCTGCTACCTTAATTCTTAGCTTTAAATTGATCAAAATATGATTTTTATTATTTTGTATTTGAAATAAGGAAGCAGAACTAAAATGGATTTTTCTAACTGTTCTTCTAGTACACAAATAATTAATTATGCGCTTAAGTAGGTCATTGTTTTATATACACCCACTTCCCCAATTCTGAGGAATAGCGAATGCCCTCGTTTCTTTCCTGTGGTTAATTTGGCCAGTCATCATCTTACATACCTCCTTGCGGTTTTCCAGCTGTGCTAAATGGCAAGGAGACAACTTTCTACCAGCTCTCGTTTAACACCCATGGGGCACAGAATGAAGCAAAAGATGAGTATTGTCGAAAGTATTATTCAAGTTGAGCAACAGAACAACACATCCAGAATAACACTACTAATGCTATATTCCATTCTACTAGACATCCTACATAACTGATAGCCTTGCCAGCCATAACATTTACATTTATTAATTTAGCAGATGATTTTATCCAAAACGACTTACAAATTAGGAACATTATAAGCAATTTATCGAAGATTACCTTATTAATGAACAGTCAAAGATGGGTACAAACTAGATGATATGATGGAAAAGTACATGTGTGGCCCACTATGATGCTCCATAATGGCTGAAATCAAAGACACAATGCTTTCCATATTAGTATAGTATAGAGGGTGTGAGAGAGCAAAACCTCACTGTGAGAGCTCAATATGTGGGTTCATGCTGGGGATGCTGAGCATCTGCCACTGCATGAGTGTTGCAGACCAAATTGTAGGAGGAATAACCTGCAAATACACAGAGCTAGCATTGGTTTGGAGGGGTTTCCCCCTTGTTTAGTTTCCAGTATGTTATTTCCAAGACATACGCTTTAACAAATGCTATCAAATACTATATGACACCAAATATATGTTCTCTTTTTTGACTTAGTATTCATCGTAGCATTTTAATCTAGAGGCATAAAAGACATTAATTCATTTTCGACAGATGTTGTATGTGTGATGACACAGGAAGTACAGTCAGGTGTAGATAAGCCCAGGAGCAGTTTCACATGGCAGGGTTGCATTTGGTTTAGAGTGACGGTGAAAGTGTACCTGTGGCTTATTGACGGATGAGCTGTTTTACATATTTGCATGTGGTTTGTCTTTTACCTCTCTCATTTTCCTCTCTTGTTGACGGTTCACTCTTTAGTCATGTTGACCGTCAGTTGACCGTGAAACATTAAACATGTTATTAATTGACTTTAGATATGCAAAACCCATACTGGTTATTATAAGTGTATTTTACTTAGTATTGAAAGTCAACACAAATCACTGTTCACAACCAGTTTTAATTCTGTAATTTGACAGAAACTGACTGGATCGAAAATTGGGCACAGTGGTTGGAAGGGTTGAAAGGTATTGTTTCAGGCCAAAATTGTTTCAGGGGGGTGTAAAGAGGATGTAAGAGGATGTAAAGATTACAAGGACAAAGCAATGACCAAAGAATCATACACAATAAGACCCAAACCTTGCATTAAGATTGCAATTTACACTACTGTTCAAAAGTTTTGCTCAGTAAGAATTTTTTATTTATTTTTATTTTTTTTTTAAAGAAAATTTCAGCAAATATTCAGCAAGGATGTATTAAATAGATCAATAGTGATATTAAAGACATTTATAAGATTAAGAAAGATTTCTGTTTTAAATAAATGCTGTTCTTTTGCAGTTTATTTTCATCAAGTTTCCACAAAAATATTACGCAGCACAACTGCTTTCAACATTTATAATAATACAAAAATGTTTCATATTAGAATGGTTTCAGAAAGATCATCTGGCACTGAAAACTGGAGTAATGGCTGCTGAAAATACAGCTTTGACATCCCAGGAATAAATTACATTTGAAGTATATTAAAGTAGAAAACAACTATTTTGAATGATAGCCTAATAATATTTCAAAATATTACTGATTTTACTGTATCTTTGATCAAATAAATGCAGTCTTGGTGAGCATAAGACACTCCTTTCAAAAAATATAAAACCTTACCGACCCCTAACTTTTGAACAGTAGTGTATATATGCATATTAAGTGTACCTGTAGCTCAAACAGGAGACTAACAACGGCACGGTCTGGAGCAGTTTCATGTGTATGTTATAATGTAAGTTACTTTGGATAAAAATGTCTGGCAACTGAATGTTCTGTCACTCAGAACACTGGGGATTTATTTATCACTATGATTGACATTTATTTCAGACTGTAGGTGAACAAATCCCGTCTGCAGCTGAAGCCCCCTTCCTGTCATTTTTTTCCATTGAGCCCCAATGTCACCACAAAAAAAAAAACCTTAAGCACTAAAATAAACAAAGTGAGGAAAAAGCAACAACAAAATTAATTCATGAATAAATTAATAATGATTCCCGGTCCTAGATTAGTCATTTTGTTGTGTTTATCACTCTGACCACTGGAGATTTATTATGACAGCTTTTATTCCAGTCTGTTGGTAAATGAATTAACAGCACATAGTCATGTCTTCCACTGGGCAGCCATGTTACCACAAATACAGCTATGTCAAGCAGGTAGGCAGATGAGCGGTTTCCTCCTCCTTTAATAACAAAATCTTCTATGTTGGTCAGAGCAGCTGATCAGTCGGTCATTTTGACTTGATCAGGGTGATGCTGATTTTCACGGCTTGTGTTTTTTGGGTCAGTTTCAGGTCCTTCAGTGTGTTTGCTGGTAAGTTTTTCTCTGTGAACAAGGTGCCTTTATGACTTGTGGTATGGTGTGAAATAAAGTGAGAGTAAAGTTAAAGCTTGTGCAAATGTGGTTTTGAGACTTTACCTCCGTAGCTCTGCTGTAGAACTGAGTGGTTTTGTGTACATGTTGCCTTGTGTGATAATAAAATTAAAACTTTGTACTAAAACATTCGATCAACATGACGTATGAACTATAAATAATCAACTATTGAAATTAATTTGTTATTATTGTGTTTACATGTACAGATGGACCTCCAGTGAATTGTTGCCTCAAACTAGGACGCAGCAGACTGCCTTTGGACAAAGTATTTAGTTACAGAATACAAACTAAAGGACTATGTCCCATAACAGCAGTTGTGTAAGTAAGTCCCTAATAGGACAAAGTCATAAGATAAACTAGACTGTCTGCTTGACTTTGCTAGAAATACATAAATTGCAATAAAAACAATATAAATATTTTAAAATGAAGTTATCTTTGCTAGAAGTACATAAAAAGATCCAGAAAAAGGATAAATCCGCTAAAATGAGCACTAATAAGAAAGTGTCCTTCCTTTCCAGGATCCAGACTGTATCTGGGAAAAGACTCTGTTCTGATCCTAACAGTGCCTGGACAAAGACAGCCATGCGGAAGGTGGATGAAGCAAAGATGAAGCTCAGAGAGCAGGATCCTGTACCTGCAGAAGGAGCATCAGCGGAGAGGAGCAGAGGAAGGGCAGATCCAGTGACCGCAACAGAGCTGCCACTAAATAGCCAATGGAACAGAGTGACAACAAGACAGAAGAGTAAACGGAAAAGCCAAAGACAACCACAAATGGGTCTCATATAAGGGTCCCAAAGAAATGAGATCAGATAGTAAAAGGGAAGAACAAGAAGTGTAAGGACAAAAACTGTGGAAAATGTTGTGCTAAATGATTTTTTTTTTTATATAAAATATATTCTACATATTTTTCTTTCTATTTTTTTTTAAAGCTAGGCTTACATTTTAAATGTAAACTGTATGTCTGTGACTGGTAATGTTATTGCTTGGCATAAACAAACTCTTTCATAATTCCTGGCAGCGAGAATTTAAACTGGTTAATAAATCACAATTAGAAATAATAGTATATAATATACTATTATGTTATTATATATACTATACTATTATATACTTAGAATATAAGTATACAATATACAGATTATATATGCTTTGAAGAATTCTGTTGTGTTCTTTCCATGGACCCTCTGCAGTACCTTCATGAACCCCCAGGGGTCCATAGACCCCCACGGAAAACCCCAGTAACCTAGCCAAAAATTAGAAGTGTGGAACAAGACAGATCCAGTTTACTCTTTAACTGCTTCTTGTTCTCTACATGATAGACAAGTGCCGCTGTCACTTCAGTTACAGACATGAGCTTGGGCTTAGTTTACTTTTAATCATGGTATAGATGAGATGTCAGCAATAATCATGGAAGTTTAAAGAGTAAAGGCAAAAAAAAAGTATACAAAGATGTAAACAAATAGAAACATGGTATTCTATGTCCATTCATAGTAAAAAAAAAATAAAAAAAAAAGACAACCACAAATTGGTCTATATAAAGTTTG